GGATGTATGTACGTATGTATGTATATATGTATGTATGTAAGTATGTATGTATGTATGTAAGTATGTATATATATATATATATATATATATATATATATACTTATATACATATATATATTCATATATATATATAATATATATATATATATATATATATATATATATANATATACATATATATATATATATATATATATATATATATATAATAGATGCATTTATTTATATATATATATATATATATATATTAGATGTACTTATAAGATGTTACATTGGTGTTGTGTGTGCATATAGATGAATATGCAAATATACTCATATTCATGATGTGATATACCGATACATATATCATATTTCTGTTCGTTTGTGAATTTATGGTAACTATCACGGCATATTTTCAAATGAATCCTCCTTGCAATCAGGGTACTTACCTCCGTTTGGGCCCAGCCCGAGGTTATCCATAACATCTTCTAATGTAATCAAATCGTGGATTGATACCGCACACTCATATGGAATATTATCATTTGCGGGATCTAGGTTTACTATCACACAAGTACGCCCTGCGGACACCAAAAAGTCGCGCATGCCTTGACAGTATGTGGTCTTGCCGGACCCTGGTGGCCCGATCACTAACTGAGAAAACGCCATTTGATACTACCTTACGTTCTATTTGTAATTGTATTTCTATTTGTAAGTGTCAGTGGTGTAGCTGTAGATTTCTGTATGCGAGTGCTTTATACACTTAGTGTGACATCTATCTCAGGACTATGTCTGCTATCAGTTCCTATACACACATACAAACACAACAAATAAAAGTATGAATTGTACATACATGATATTTGAGACAAAAAGTGATTACGCCAAACGCGTCACGCGTGGGCCTCTGGATAATCCACCAATCAGATTTGATATTGAGAACGCATTGTGTGCTCTGGTATTTTTATTAATAAAAAAATTATGTTCCGAGTCTGACTCGCAGTCCATCAGCTGTCCAGCAGCCAGCCTCAGTCTGGTGGTGCCTCACCCCATCGAGCGAGGCATAGCCTATAGAGACATTATGTTTATTTAGTGCCCAATAATGCACATTTAGTGTATGTTAATCTGATACCATCTTCCCCAGCCCGTACCATTGTCAGGGACTATCGACTGCACGCGATTGATATAAAAGACATCAGTGGTACAGATATACGCCACAAGCATACGTCGACACTGAATATCACAAACACACTATTACAGTTAAACCCTGAAACGTACAATACATACCCTCAAGATGGTGAAGGCATGGATTCACGACAATGATCAGACCATTGACCAGCGGGAGCTGCACCAAAGGACACCCAACGTGGAGGTGTCTTTGGCACAGTTGGAGAAGGTTGGTGTTTTGTACTGGAGTATCACAGACGAGGAAAAGATTGACGAGATTTGCAAAGAAAGGAACTACAAGAATAGAGACGAGGTCTGTCTCTATGTGAATGATACGATCCTGTATAATTTTGGCTTTGCTGTGTGATTTCGGTGCAAGGTGGAGTGATGGTAGTTTGTTAGTATGCCAAACGAGTGCCCGATATACGCGAGGTGGAATGTATCTGAGCGTTAAATCGGCCCTCATTGGTGGCTTAGGAATTCAGATATGTTCGCAGCGTCAGTGCTCGTTGCAAATCCCAAGGGTTTACCACATGCTGATGGTGGCGCAATCGTACTTGCTCTTTATCTCTGTGTGATCAGAAGTGCACAAAAGTATCTAAATATATCTATTTATTTATTCGCATACAACTATCTTGCTGACAGATAGTTTTAGTTTCTTGTTGTATATATGATCACATATTGTCTACTTTGTTTGCTATAGAAAATTGGTTTCATCGTTCACGAGTGTTTTTCAATAATATTACAGTCTTTCTTCGGTATATACCTATTCTTGTGTAATTTTGACCCGAAGAAAATATTCACGTACGAAAATGTGAATGTGGACATGATGTATATAGGTGAATACATCTACGAATAGTAACGTGCATACGTATATATGTTTATAAATATGAACCTATATATATATATATATATATATATATACATGCATGCATATATATATGTATATGTATAAATACATGTTCATATATTTTTATGTATATGTATATACGTATATATATATATATATATGTGTGTGCTTGTGTGTGCATATATATATATATATATATATGTATGTGTGTGTGTATATATACATGTTCATATATGTATCTGTGTATGTATATACG